AACACTATTCTAATGATACTTAGTTCTCTGGTTCCTCCTCTAATTTTTTTTTTTATTGTCTAAAGTTTTACATATGTCTTCTTTTACCCCAAATGACCCCCCCCCCAGCCATTCCCACCCCGGGCAAGCCCCCACCGCCCCAGTGTCTGTGTCCATTGGTTATGCTAATATGCATGCATACAAGTCCTTTGGTAGTTTGGCCTTTCTTTGGGGAGGCAGGGTGACATTGCTGCCTTCCATAGGTCAAGGATTGTGTCACTGATCATAAGATATTTGAATCATAAACTGAAGGAATTATTCAGTTCTCTAAGCAATTAAGACACCATAGACTTGATGCATAATCTGTGTTTTCTTAGCTTGTTGCCATGAGCCACTACTTTTTCCATGTACTACTCATTTGTTAACTTTTATTTTTTGAGGCTCTTTGAGATAGAGATGTTCCAGGTAGTGCCAAAGGTCAGAGGCAGGACTGTTGTTGATATGTTAGACCCATGGTTCTCAAAGTGTGGTCCTCTGATCAGCAGTGTCAGCTACTTGTTAGAAATGAAAATTCTTGGCCTCACTCCAAAGCTACTGTGTCAGAAATGATGGGTGTTTGGTTCAGCAGCCTGTATTTTAACAGGCTTTCCAGACGGTTCTGATGCACATCAAAAATCTGAGAACCACTGTGTTAGATGCACAGCACAGAGGCCAGTAGGGCTGGGACCAAGTGAGCGAGGGGATAAGTCACAGGGGATGAGATTACCTTATCCGAGTTGCAAGGACTGGTTCTTGTGTGAAATGGGAAGCCACTGGAAGATTTTGAACAGAGGAATGATGTGATCTGATAGATATTTTTAACAGATTATTTTGACTGTTGTGTTGAGTCAGGACTACAGGGGGCCAAGGACTGAAGCAGGCAGGCAAATTGAGATCATGTTGGCTTGGATCAGCGTGGTAACAGCGGTTGTAGCGAGCGAGACATGTTGGAAACCAGAACTCATTTTCAGAGAGAGGTGACAGAATTGGCTGATGAATTAGCTAAAAGACCAGGAGTAGCCACTTGAATTTTTTTCTGGATTTGAGAGGAGGAAAGTAAACATATTAGTCAATGGAAAACCAGTCACTTGTGGCATCAAGCTATGTTAACATGGTATATTCATCTAGTTTATGGTGTTTTACTTGCTTAGAGAATGGTCTCGTTTGCTAGGCAGAGTACTACGATTCTTAAAGAATGCTAGAGCGTCATTGTCAGCTGTTTTGATACTCTGTCCACCGTTAGAGCAACTCCAGGTTAATGACTTCCTGAGACCTCGTTTGGAGGTCCTAGCAGGGGAGGGCAGCTACTCAAACACCCTTGACTGAAGACAAGTCCTCTCCTCGTGAGGGAAGGTCGTCCTCTTTGAGTGTGTAGCTTCCCGAGGCAGCATCTGGATCGGTGACGGAGGCAGGGGACACCCGCTGAGCCAGCCAGATGAGCCGAATCAACCCTGGCAATCAATGGGGTGGCAGATGTCGCGGCCAGGTCACCCTCACATCCCAGATTAATGGCTTCTTAATAGAGAAGTCCCCAAAGTCTCACCTCCTATGGACTCCTCCCTGCCAGTTCTCTACTTGAAATTTTTATTACCCTCAACTTTGAGACCCCACACTCCCCTCATTCTCCCAACTCTTTCTTTGCTGCTTCTCAGTCTACTTTTTTGGTCTCTTTTTCTTTGCTCATCCTCTTGATTTGAGATTTTCTTAAGGTTTTCGTACTCTGTTCTACGTGTTCTCTGTCAGTAATTTCATGTAATCCAACACTGCTTGCACGTGGCTCAGCCCCGTGTCTCCAGTCTCTTTCCTGACCTCCGGAGCTGAATTTTCGAATGTCTGCACCACTCACTACATTCAAAAGTGAACTCATGACTTTCTCTTACTCCAACCATTCCCTTTTACCTATATTTCTTATCAGTTTACTAACATTGCCAATCACCTCGTGCCTCTCCTCTCCAGCTGGACTGTCAGTTCCTACCATGAAATCCCTCTTCCCTTTCTCTTACGCCCCACCTGCCACAACCTTAACTTAGTTGCCTGTTGTGTAATTGAGATTGCTGTAGCTGATTCCTAATTGTACTCCCTGAGGGAAGAGTAATTATTTTTTAAACTTAAAACGAGCACTGTTTGAAAATCAGCCTTTTCAACTATGTGCAAAAAATCTTAAAAAATTTTTACAGTTTTCCAATGTAGTTTTAATTTTCACTTGTTAAAGGAGTAAAAGCCATTATAGCTTTAAGGGGCCAATCTATGATTATTTGAATCTTTTTTTCAATTAAAGGGTCTTTTCTCATTTTTATGATTATCTGCAGGAGAATCAGGATAAATGAGCGTATAGGATTATAAGGAAGGTCTCGGGAAAGTATAAAGATAGCGAACTTAAAACATAAGATATCAGATATAGTCTGTTACCTCAATCTGTTGAAGGTTAGTTGTCCTTAGAACTTGTTACTGTATAAAGCATACACCAAAAAGGTTGCGGGTTTCATCCCCGGTCAGGGCAAGTACAGAGGCCACCAATCAATTGATGTTTCTCTCTCTCTCTCTCTCTCCCTTCCTCACTCTAAAAACCAATAAAAACATATTCTCAGGTGAGGCTTAAAAAATATTTAACTTGAGTAATTTTTTCTGGATTTTTATCTTTTCAACAGTAGATATTTATTATAGAAGATATTATAAATACATAAAAGTAGTATGTAATTGGAAAGTAAGCCAAGTACAGTGGTTCTACCTACAAATTGTTGGGTGCTATTACCTGAGGTCTGAAATTTCTTGCTTCTGAATGCTAGATATAAATGAGTCAAAATGGTATCCATTGTCCTAAAGATAGTATTTTTTAAAAAGCCTGTGAAACTATTTCTTAGAAGCAAATTGCCTAACACAATTTGATAAGCACTTTCCCACTATAGCCAAAATTGACTTCTGTTGCCTTAAACCTCTTCTCAGAGAACTCTTGATTTTCTGTAATTATTTTATAACATTCTACTTTTTTAATTCATTAATTTAAAACCATATTTTTAAAATATATTTTTATTGATTTCAGAGAGCAAGGGAGAGAGAGATAGAAACATCAATGATGAGAGAGAATCATTGATTGGCTGCCTCCTGCAGGCCCCCTACTGGGAATCGAGCCCACACCCCAGGCATGTGCCCCTGGCCAGAATCGAACCTGGGACCCTTCAGTCCGCAGGCCGATGCTCTGTCCCCTGAGCCAAACCAGCCAGGACTTAAAAATATTTTTGAGTCTTTGCTATATGCCAAGCACTGCTGTGTGTGCTAGGGAATCAGCAACAAACAAAACAGAAAGTGATCCTGCCCTCATTGAGCTTACATTTCAGTGGAGGGATATGAAGAAGTTGGCAGAACCTCTGTCCCTAATAATGGTAAGTTAGACTTGCAATTCAAATTGTAAAACTTCTAAAATAAAGAAAAACTAAAGCTCCAAATAATGGTATTGATAGTTTAGATTTCCAGGCTTAGAAAAGAAGGATACAAATTAAGACAGAATGAATAATTATTCCAAAACACCGAGAAATATTAATATTTGCATTTGCTGGATACTTTGAGACTGCAGTCCAGAGTGAGTTTAGACAACAGGATCTGTTTTCTAGATTGATACAGGAAAGGTTGGTGTAGCACGTAACCGAATGTCTGAAGCCAGTTTGACCATAGGTAAAGCTACCCATAAGTATGTAATACCCTTATGTATTTTCCACTTTACCCTTTCACCTATCTTCTATGATCAAGCAGATAATGATTAATTGAAACCTGGCTCCGTAGAGTATTTTTAATAACGATTGCTCATTGTTTTCTAAAATGCTGCATTAGAAAAACTTGTCAGATTTGCATATACATTTTATGAATCCTAAATGGTTGATAAGAATGATTTGGCTTATAGCATAATTAAATATGTGAATAATAATATTTTTTAGAGTGCATTCTTCCATTTAGCAGAAAGATATATCAACTTTAATAGTGAGATACATGATCAAAATTCATATTGAACTGAATGATTTTTTTATTATTAACAGTGTTAGTCATGACTCAAATATAAATTATGTCCCTATGAATGATTTGTTTATATCTGGATTTTTTGGTCAATAATTCTTCAAATCACATTAGTTTCATGATGTGAAATTATATGCTAGCAACTGAAAATTATGTACTTATATTGGGCCTACATACACAAAATTTGGCATGTTAGGATGCACTTGATGGTGTTAATTGTAAAATAACATCACTGGGAAGGTGGGTAGTACTAGCTAGTCCACTTGTGAGCTAGTAAGTAAGCAAAAAATTTTTCTGAAACATCTCAGGCAAGCTGAATGTGAGATGTAAGAATAGTAGCGAACTCGGAATTATATTTAAAGTGCAATGTGAGCTCATCAGATTTACTAAAGATTTATCTTTGGCTTTAAGACTTATTATGCTGTTTAAATAGAATAGAGAGCATATAGCTTATTCAGTGATACCTGAAAATATCCACCTTAACAGGTAAATATTGGGAAGATGGATTCACCCATTGAAAAGTGGAACCTAATAATTGGCAACTTGGCTTTAAAACAGGTAAGTGATACACATATTTATTTATAGATCTTGGGTTTACAGATCTTGGTTGTTACCTGTAAGAATGAAATAAATTTTAGTTAAGTCTACCATTTAATTGTTTCAGGGGACCCCAAGTGATAATTTACTACTGCAAAAAAGGGATAGAATAAATGAATATCAATGATTTTAAAAGTTTTCTTTCTCTAGAAATTATGTACTTCTAAATATAAAAAACATACAATATAAAAATATAAATATACAAAATATTTTCTGTCATAAGTGTATAAGAGAGACAGAGTTTGAGTTTAATATCTGTACAAATATAGGATGTCCCAAAAATATATATATGTTTTAAAAAATATATTTTTATTGATTTCAGAGAGGAAGGGAGAGAGAGAGGAATATTGAAACATCAATGATGAGAGAGAATCATTGATTGGCTGCCTCCTGCATGCCCCCTACTGGGGATTGAGCCTACAACTCAGTCATGTGCCCTGACCGGGAATCACACTGTGAGCTCCTGGTTCATAGATTGACGCTCAACCACTGAGCCACACCGGCCGGGTAGGAACTAAAGTTTGTATATCATTAATCATGATGGTGATTACATGTAAGGTTATTGTTTAATGTCCACCAACCAAAGGTCTTTAAGAGCAGGGAATAAACCTGTTTTGACCACTGTGTTAGCCCAACACCAACCATAGTGCCTGGTACATAATAGACGCTAAATTAATAGTTGTTGAATAAATGAATTTGAATAATTTGCCACAAGAGTAAGTGGTGTAGCGAGGGGTCAAACTCTTATTTTTGGATTATAAAATCCAGTCTCTTGCCAACACTGCCTCTGGCGTCAGGCTTCGCTTTTGTGGGTTGTGTACTTTTCAGCCCTAAAGTCGCTATTTTCTTAGATGATCTGTGGATTACGTCATGAAAGTCACTTGAGATGTTTGTTAAAAACAGATCCCTGGACCCTCTTCCATACCTGGGCAGCTTGAGAACCCACCGCCTTAGAGAATATTAAAACTAAAATATAGTAGCTTCTCTAAAAGGCAGCTCAGTTACTAATAGCCATACTTTCCTCTGACTTCTCATCTGCACATTTATGTAATCAGGCTTACAGGTGTGTTTGCGAAATGAATAATTCCATTAAATTTTATAAAAAAATTTTTTTTAGGTTCAAGCAACAGTCGTCGGTTTTCTAGCAGCCGTGGCGGCAGTTATATTGGGCTGGATCCCAGAGGGGAAATACTACCTTGATCACTCCATACTGTTGTGCTCTAGCAGCGTAGCAACTGCCTTCATCGCCTCTCTTCTGCAGGGTAAGTACATTTACAAGCGCCCACTCGTAGTCTTTTACTTTCATTTCCCAATATTATGCCTATTTTTGTTTAAATGGTATGTGTTCATAATAAAAAAAAACATCAACAAGTTGTCTACAAACTTTAAAAATACCTTATTTCAGATATATTTATAGTTATTATATGTAAACCTGAGTGCAGAACAGGCTTTTGGAGTTGTCTTCTGGCCGTAGGTACTCTGGGACAGTTCTCAAACAAGATCAGGAGCATAGCCGAGTTACTCATTTGTTTCTGTTAAGTTAACTTAATTGAGAAACTTCTTTCCGGAAAATCATGCTGAGGATTTTACTGGCTTGTCCGTTGAGTAACAAGGATTCCAAGAATCCTGAGTTTCAAAGGCAGTCTCTCTGTTGAAATTTTTTCAAGTTTTCAGATTTCAAAGAAAACTGCACTATCTCTGTGGCAATACAAATATAACCGTAAGCTTAACATAGCAGATTGTTGGCTGTTGAACTTGAGAGAGCCAGAAGTTGTAAAACACTAACTACATGAGAAATTTTCAGTTGGGATATCATTTTTAAAATATTTAGTAATTAATATGAACTTCACACTGGATAACTAGATTATTTATGGACTCATAATCATAAAGACTTTGTTCTTTTTATTTTGTAATCATCATCTTTTCACCCTTATATCACCAGCAAAGTTCAAAAGAAGATTCTCTTGCTAGGTGATCATATAATGAAGCTAATTATTTGGCTAGGTTCTTTCCCAGAAATTAGAGAATTTAATTATAATTAAGATTTGACTTCTTGCCCAGCCAGTGTGACTCAGTTCATTGAGCATCGTGCCCCACACACCAGGAGGTCACTGATTTGATTCCCAGTCAGCGCACGTGCCTGGGTGTGGGCTCAATGCCTAGTAGGGGGCATGCAAGAGACAGTTGTTCAATGTTTCTCTCATTGATGTTTCTATCTCTCTTTCCCCCTCTCCACCCTCCTCTCTCTGAAATCAGTAAAAATCTATTAAAAAAGACTTCTAAAATATTTTCAAACGTTTCGTTTTAGTACTTAATTGTATCAGGAGTAGTTTCTGGTCTATACAGTCATGCACTGCTTACTGATGTTTCAGTCAGTGATGGGCCACATATACAGCAGTGGTCCCATAAGATTATCATGGAGCTGAAAAATTCCTATTGCCAAGTGACGTCATGGTCATTGTAATGTTTTAGCACAACGCATGTCTGTGATGATGCTGAAGTAAACAAACCTACTGTGCTGCCAATCATATGTGCCAGTATACTATTAGCACAGCCTGGCTAATGTGGCTCAGAGGTTGAGTGTCAACCTATGAACCAGAAGGTCATGGTTTGATTCCCAGTCAGGGCACATGCCCAGTTTGCAGGCTTGATCCCCACTAGGTGGCATGCAGGAGGCAGCTGATCAATGATATTCTCTCTCATCATTGATGTTTCTCTCTCTCTCTCCCTCTCCCTACCTCTCTGAAATCAATAAAAATATATTTAAAAAAATAAAAGTATAGCACATACAATTATGTCCAGTACATAATACTTGATAATGATAATAGATGATTATGTTACTGGTTTATGTATTTACTGTATTATTTATCATTATTTTAGAGTTTGCTCTTTCTACTTATAAAAAATTACTGTAAAACAGTATGGTGTGTTTCTTGGGCAGCAATCTCATACATCGAATGTTTACCATGTTTCAATTGCATCATTTTCTCTTGTGCTTGATTTAATCTCATGTTGTGTTGTACAGTAACATGATGTATAGGCTTGTAGCCTAGGAACAATAGGCTATACCATACAGCCTTGGTGTGCAGTAGGCTATAGCATCTAGGTTTGTACACATACATTCTGTATGATGTTCGCACAGTGACGAAATTGCCTAACAATGCATTTCTCAGAATGTATCCCTGTCGTTAATGGTGTATGACTGTATAGAAATACTAGAATTGGGTAGCATCAACACTGACCAAAGGAGAGTGAAGTTAAGCTATTAGAAAATATATTTCTGGTTAAAGAAATGTTAAAGCATTAGCATTCTATTTAAGCTCATTTGCTTCTGTTTTCTTTCTAATTTTGTTTTATTTAGAGAGAATTATTAAAAAATTTCAGTCTAGCACATGTATGTACTGCCTAGAATTTTCAAAACCATAAAAATTCCAATTTTAAAAATACATGTTCAGTGCTTCTTACTTTGAACAATATATGTCCTAATTTTATAACTTGACCTTTATAACCCAATTAATATATGTAGAACAGATACTATTAACCACCTTTTGTAGGTGAGAAAACTGACTCAGGTAAGTTGACTTACCTAATTTCATCAGCCTGTTCACAGAAAAAGCAGAATTAAAACCTATTTGATGACTCCCAGCTCTTTCCGTTGGTCCAAATGACAGAATATTTTTTTTTCAGCTGAAATTATATAGATGGCATTCTGTAATAGAACTTTCCATATAGGTATTTAAATGTGCTGATTTTGAAAAAAATTCTGCACGATCACATCTTGATTGATTATTGCATAATACATTTAAAAACTTTTTCTGCTGTTGCTTTTTTTTGTTCTTCATTGGTATTATGGGAAAGGTTAAGTCCATAGATTGAAAAAGCCTCCAGAATATAAGATATAAGACATGATTTTGAAGCAAGACAGCAATTCTACTTTTAAAAAAATTTTCTTTATTGATTAAGGTATTATGTATGTGTCCTTATCCCCCATCCTTCCCCCCCCTCCCCCAGCAATTCTACTTTCAACAATTTTGGCTTTATGGGATAGTAGAGAAAACAGTGGACTAGAGTTACTTACAACCTCTGTGACCTTAGGCAAGAATGTAAACCATACTCTCAGTTGTATTGCCTATGACACGAGTTTGCTAGAAGAAAATCTTTCAGAGTCATTTCCAATCTTAAAATGAGATCCTGTTGTTTTTTTATAGCCATATCAAGGCTTCCATATTGGTTTTTATTAGCACGTAAGTAAACTAATCTTAAATTGCCTCCATTGCATCCTTTGAATGAGTGTGTTGGCATGAGAAAATCTATACAATTAGGTGTGGATATAAACGTTATCATTTTTCTCCCGTTTCTATGATTCAGGAAGATAAGGACTTAAAAGTGTAAGTACACAGTCACATTTTCAGCTTCTGTCCTTTAGTTATAGGTTCTTAGACACAAACTTTGGATTGCGAGAGTATTCTATACAAAGACAGCTTCTGGCCTCATGTTCAAAATTCAATTGCTTCCTTCCTCTTAACATTTCAATACCTTCAAGTAATAAAAGGAAGCAAGTATTCCTGGCGACCACTATGTAAACAAATCTGTTTTTATTGGTTTTCTTCCCCAGTTGCTATGCATATAAATATGACTTAGCTTTCTTTGATATTTTCATGCATTATTTGAGGGTTAAAATAAAATGTGTGTGTTTGATACACACAAATACATTACATCTAAGACATACAAGTTACTAAATTTGAAACTTTAGCTTTAACTTTATTTTACCGGACGTTTTCAGGTGTCTAAATGCAACGTTGACCTTCTCGAATCTTCCATGATTCCCCTCTTGGAATTCCTTTAAGGGCATTTTGCCAGAGCACTGGTGTCAAATGTTTTGTTTGTGTTAGTCAGCTTGTTTAAGCAGTCTAACTGAAATTCATAGGCTGTTTGTCTAGCCGGTGTCTTTTGTATGTAGGGGAATTGATTGTTTTTAAAATCATAGCAGAAAAGTAATGAATGTTCTTTCTTCTAGGAATAATCATGGTTGGGGTTATCGTTGGTTCAAAGAAGACTGGTATAAATCCTGATAATGTTGCCACACCCATCGCTGCTAGTTTTGGTGACCTTATAACGCTTGCCATATTGGCTTGGATAAGCCAGGGTTTGTACTCCTGTCTTGGTAAGTTGACTTGACACTAAATATAATGTGTTAATCAGAGTCTCTTTAAATAAATATTGTTATAGCAATGCCATGAATCTGTGGTGGCCTTCATCCATGTTAGAACTGTGGTTGAGACTGATTAGGACAGTAACTGCTATTCGTTGTACACGTACTATGTGTGGTGGTTCTCATATATTTTTTCTTACATACTTGTTTTCTTATAGAGTTTAAAACTCTATATTATCATCTCTAATTTCAGATGAGAACACTGAGGCTCATGCAGGTTATGCATGTTACCCACTCCTGGTAGGAAGATTGAACACGGTTCTGTCTATTCTATGACCTCTGCCCTTTCCTCTAAATGGGCAGCCAGTGGCGTCAACGAACAGTGTTCTGATACGTGCATTGTACTACTGTCCCAGAACACAAGCTTATGGTGGTGCTTGAAACCTAGTGATTTTTCCCCCAATCAGAAACCAGCTTGGCCATTAACTAAAAGAAAAAAAAATCACCATGAAAATTAACCTGAATACTCTGTGAAGTTGGAGTTATCTTATATATGTGATTTCTGATAATAGTGATAGAGTAGTTATAGAATCTAATGACTTGTTTACTGTGATTTATACTCTGGGACTACTACCAATATAAATGAATATGATTCGTAAGAATCGATTTAGTGCTAAAAATTGGTTGTGGTTCATTTTTCTTTTAGATGCCAAATTTTTAAAAATTAAAACAGAAACCCACAGTAATACAAAGGGGGAAAAAAGATAGTTTATAAGCCAAACCAGGAGCATTTATTCACATATCCTCATATATTTTCATGGAGACTTCACAGATTTATGCTTTACTTTAGAGTAAGTCTAAAGTACATTTGGTTTGAAGAAGAGTCTCAGATACATGTTTTTGAACTAAAGGAAGGTCTTGAGCATAACAAAGGCAGAAATTATCTACTACTTTCAGAGACATCAAGGGAGGCTTCATTTAGTATATAAAATTACCCGAATTCTGTAACGAGCAGCATAAAAATAATGCTTAGTAAGAGTTGATGCGTATGTTCAAGGAATAGTCTTCTCATTTAGAAGATTATATGTTTCTACCTAGAATAAGGACATCAAACGATTAATGATCTAAATGTAAGGTCTCGTTCCCATAGGTCTTGGGTTGTTTTGTTGTTGTGGAATGAACAAGGAATGATATAAATTCAAGTATACTCAGGGTAATCCTCAATACCTTTCTCTCTCAGTCAATTAAAAACGTAGAAAATGAGAGTTATGTTTTTAAAGGGATTATTTGCTCTAATTTATATTCTTGGGTGGCAGTTGGTCATACTTTTGTCCTCTAAACTATTATACAGTTTAGAAACCGATGCTGAAGTTGGGGCTTGAAATATTGGCTTATGGCTAGTATTAGAGAATGTGACTTCATGTTGTCCTCCTACCGTGTCAAACTTACTCACCCACTCACAGCCAGGCAGCTGGACGGCTTGTAGTCCTCACCCCCACAGGAACAGGCTGTTAATGGTTGGTGAAGGGAGACTGTCATCGCTGGGCTGGATCCCAAAAGGGAAAGGTGTGAGTTAGGCATGCTTAGTGCCCGCTTCCCAAGTCTTACTAATTAGATAAGACTCCCCACTCTGAGGAAGAGATAAGAGGGAAGAAGGGAGGGGTAGGAAAGAGTAAAGAGTTTCTTTCTAATATTATTAAGAGAACAGAAATTCTATGGGTCTGGCCAGGAACATTGAGGATGGAGTTGGGGATGCGATGGAGGGACGGTAATGGTTTGGGGATGGGTTCCCTTACATACATAAAAAAGAAAGGTATATTGTTGCAGACTTGGGTACTTAATTACCATGCAGTCATTTTAACACATTTCTCAGCTGCTTAGTTAAAGCCACAGTGGTAAAAAAGTAAGAAAAAAGAATACCATTGAAAAATGTCATCATAATAGATGATACAGACCTAAGTATGAGATTCCAGAAGATAGATCAACTTTAGAGGAGAATAATATATGCTGACTTTTCAAATTTTATTTTCTAAAATTATACAAGTGATAAACACTCCTTATGCACAACTTAATCATAATCTATTGTCATCTGAAGCTTCAGTTTTTGAGTGGTATATATAATACATTAGTAGTTTAACTGGATCAAGAAATAAAGCAAAGTGGAATGATACCATCAGAGACCATAATTTTGAAAAATAATTTTCTTATTAAATATTGCTTAGACTTTTTAGGCCTTGTCTTCTGCAAGTTGGCTCAAAATAATTCAAGCTAAATTAATTAAAATCAGATCTTTTATATTTCACCTGTATAATTTATTTCTCTAAAAAAGATATATTTTTTAACTAGAGGCCCGGTGCACGAATTTGTGCACGGGTGGGGCCCCTCGGCCTGGCCAGCAATCAGGGCTGATTGGGGTCGTCTTGCCCAGTCTTGGGGAAGGGACTGCAGGAGGTTGGCTGGCTTGGGGGAGGGACCACAAGAGGTTGGCCGGCGGCGGGAGGTTGGCTGTGAGAGCACACTGACCACCAGGGGGCAGCTCCTGCATTGAGTGTCTGCCCCCTGGTGGTCAGTGCGCATAATAGCGACCGGTCGACCAGTAGTTCAGTCGACTGGTCGTAACAGTCACTTAGGTTTTTATATATATAGATGGGCTACTGTAGTGATGTGATTTATAAGAAATAGATGTTTGGTCATTCAGGTGCTCAGAATATATTTCTCATATATATTTAGCCTTTGTCCAAGGTTCCTGACTCACAGCCTCCCCAAACTGTTGGGATTTTCTGAGTGATAAGAGCAATGGGAGCATCTTTTGTCAGAGTATTTTGTCATAATATCTTGTCCTCAATGCCTGAAGTTGCTTCAGAGCCAAAAGGTGAAACAGGTGTCTTGTTACTTATAACAAGCCCCTTTTCATCACGCCTGGGTGTATGTTAATGAGGTGACTTTTGGAAAGCACCTAAGGATGAGGCCGGTTGATTGCTGGGGGATTCACCCAGAGTAGAGGGATGGATCTTTCAGTCCCATCTCTGATGTCTGGGGAGGCTGGAGAGGCTGGAGGTGGGATCACTCACCAGTCACCAATGATTTACTCACTCATGTGTATTTAATGAGGCCTTCATAACACCCCAAAAGGATGGGGCTCGGAGAGCTTTGGGGTTGGTGAACACATAGAGATTTGGGAAGAATTTTGTATTCAGAGAGGGCATGGAAGCTATGGGCTTTCCCCCATACATTGCCCTATGCATCTCTCCCATCTGGCTGTTTCTGAGTTATATCCTTTTATTTTTTTTATTCTTTTACTAGAGGCCTGGTGCACAGATTGTGCACCAGTGGGGTCCCTCGGCCTGGCCTGTGGGGATCAGGCCGAAACTGGCCTGGTGCACGGATTCATCCAGGGCATGTCCGGCCCATCTCGTCCAGTCCTGGTCAGGGCCGGCAGGCTGGGGAGGGACTGCAGGAGGTTGGCTAGCCAGGGAAGGGCCGTGGGAGGGCTCAGCCAGCCCCCAGCAGCAAGCTAACCTACCGATTGGAGTGTCTGCCCCCTGGTGGTCAGTGCATGTCATAGCAACTGGTCCAACTATCGAACAAATGGTCGGACATTTAGCATATTGGACTGTTATTATATAGGACTAGAGGCCCGATGCACGAAATTTGTGCAAGAGTAGGCCTTCCTTCCCCCAGCTGCCGGCACTGGCTTCCCTTTGACACCTGGGACCCAGGCTTTCCTCCGGTCCCAGCTTTGTCCGGAATGACGTCCAGTCTAATTAGCATATTACCCTTTTATTATTATAGATAATAAGCTGGTAATTTAGTAAGTAAAATATTCCTCTGAATTTTGTGAGCCACTCTAGCAAATTAATCAAATCCAAGGAGGGCGTCGTGGGAACCTCTGATTTATAGCCATTCGACCAGAAGCACAGGTGACAACCTAGACTTGGACTGGCATCTGAAGGTGTGTGTGTGTGTGTTGGGTGTGTGGGGGGGTGTCTTGTAAGAAGGGCTGAACCCTTAACCTGTGGACTCTGATGTTATATCTTCCTGTAGATAGTGTCAGAATTGAGTTGAATGGTAGGACACTCAGCTGGTGTCTGAGAATTGCTTGGTGGTGTGGGAACCCCCACATCCCAGAGTGGAATTGGTACAAGAATCATAGCTACTGATGGATTCCATAGTTGATTTAATAAAGGTTTTTCTGAAGTGTCAGTGTTTGAACTTCTGAAGTATCTGCATTGTGAGCACTAGGGGGCCTCATAAGATAGCAGTTGTCAGCCTGGAATGCGTAGTATTCTGAACATTTAGGTTCCAAGACCCCGCGCATCCTGCTGAGATGCCCAGTTCTTAGTAACAAAGTTTAATTCCTGAATTCTGTTAAACACTTAGCAGTCTTTAGAGACAAAAAGAGGATTTCATGGCAGCTTTAAGTTTTGGTTATAAATAGAGGCCGTATAGTATATGGCTCTCAAAGAACTGGACATGGAGAAAAGTCATCACTTAGAATTTTGGATATTCAGAAATGACTTGGAACAGCTCCC